GGAATATTACCTGTTAACTTGTTTCCTTCCACATCAAGCATTCTCAGTCCCATGCAATTCCTCAAAGTTGAAGGCAATTCACCAATGAAATTATTGCCACGCAAGTGTAATACTTCGAGTTGATCCAAAGTGCCCAAAGTGAGGGGAATCTTACCTGAGAACTTATTATTTGCCAAATCCAGAACTGATAATCCACTTATGTTCATCCAGCAATTAGGAAGCTCTCCTGCCAATTGGTTATCCGAGAGATCAAGCATGTTGATGATGGAGCCCTTAGGAATTGTGCATAAGTGAAAAATGGATCCCGAAAACATATTTTTGGAAAGTTTCAATTGGTTACAATAAAAAAGAAATAATGGAATTGGACCCGAAATGTTATTATAACTTAAATCTATAATTTCAGGATGAAGAATCAACTGTGAGGACAAATTAGGAATTTTACCCGTGATATTGTTATGAGAAAGATGCAAGAAATTCACAGACATATTCCACAACCAATTGGGTATTGCATCTGATATACCAGCAAAAGAGAGAGTAAGTGTATCAAGAGTATTCTGAGTTTGAATCCAATTTGGAAAATGAGGGCCCAAATAACAATGGCTAAGATCTAGTGTCTCCATTTGAAAAGGAGGAATCCAATCTGAGCTCAAATTGAAAGTCAAGGAGTTCAAGGATAAATCAAGATGTTTTAAGTTGGCAAAGTTTGAGAGGTGACTTTCGGTGATTGTATCTTCCAACAAATTTGAAGACAATCCTAAATAATAGAGATTGGAAAGTTTCTCAATGCCTTCAGGCAACCTTTTTAATTGATTGTAAGATAAATCTAAATCATAGAGATTGGAAAGTTTCTCAATATCTCCAGGCAGCCTCTTTAATTGATTGTGAGATAAATCTAAATATCTGAGATTGGAAAGTTTTTCAATATCTTCAGGTGACCTCTTTAATTGATTGTAAGATAAATCTAACTTAACAAGAACTAAAGGTTGCCCAAGGCATTGTGTGTGAAACACATTCAACTTATTGTTACGAAGGTCCAAACGTGATAAAGATGAAAATGTGGTATTATCTGGAAAGAGACCATTTAATTCATTGGATGATATATCTAGTTCATGTAAATTGCGCAAAGAGCTTGGAATCCCACCTTGCAACTTATTGTCAGACAAATCAAGCTCTGCAAGAAAAAACAATTTCCCAAAGGAATCAGGAATATGACCCTCTAATTGATTAGATGAGAGGTCAATGCTTGTAAGACTGGCACTAATGTTAAACATCCAGCTTAATGTGGATAAGGAAGTGAGATAATTGGAGCTTAGCTCGAGGATAGATAGTTGGGATAAAGAAGAATTAGTAAAGATATCATAGGAAAGCATTGGGTTGGGAAGTTGACAGTTTATCAAGTGCAGTTCCTCAAGGAAATGGAACCTTGTTATGTGGTGCAACCAGCTGGTTTGATTTATAAGGTTAACATGACTCAAGTCAAGATGGGATAACGAAGAAAGATGAGAAAGACAATCAAAAATCTTGATTCTCAAATTGTTACCAAAAAGGTCAAGAGTATTCAGATTTGTAAGGTTCCCAAGTTCGCACG